GCAGTGCAAAGAGCAGATCCCTATTCAAAAGCCTTTCAATCCCTCTTATATTTGCAAGATGAACAAGTATTTGTTTCCATAAACCAGAACATGCCTTGCACTGGAAAACAGAACAGGCTGCAATAGTGTACCACTCAAAACTATATCAAAGGAAGATTAAACACATTCATTTTCATACTGATATGACCAATTCTTAAAAAACAAATAAATAAAAAAAACCCAAGAAAACAAAATAATAAAGCCCAATAAAGCTGAAGATTTCACTTTAATAATTGTTTTTTGCTTCAAAACCTCCTTCTTCCAATAAGTGGATTATACAGAGGATCTGCAGAGCCTCTTGCTGTTGCCAATTCTGCATTTTTTGGACACATGGCGCTGTCAGGGTTTGTTCACAGAGTCCCTCTCCATGCTTATTGTTGGCTCACCCACCACTGAAATCCTGATCCCTGTCCTTCCTATAGCTGTGACAGGAGCTGAGGCATGCTGGCAAGCAGACGCTTGGAAAGCTGAATTCACTGGCGCTCTCAATCAGATCGCAATTTCATTAAAGAACTTTTAAATAAAACAAACTCCAACATTTGCACTTCATAATTAAGTGGAAGCCAACTGAATTAGTGTCAAGCCATGGCATAAGTGAAAGCATCCGAACCCTGGCACCCCTGTGACCCTAGCCAGCCCTGAAAGGAAAGCTCCAGCAGCTTGTACCACAGCAGACCCTGACACTTCATCTCCTTGGGACTGCAGGAGAAGCTGAGACACTCCAGGCTCTGCCTGCTCCCACTCAGGGCATAGGTACCCCTTCTTATGGTGCTGCAGGCATGGTCTGGGAGGCACAGCAACATTCCTGCCCTGGCAGCAAGCCAGGAGTGACTTTCCAGTGGCAGAGTAATAACCACTGGGAGCAAGTCAAGCTCCAGCCCGAGCCCAGGGAAGTCAGCAGCACTGAGTGCTCCCGGGCTTCCCAAGAGGAATATTTCACTGTAACCCACACACAGTACATGACATGGGCCCCGAGCAAGGCACTGCATGACTTACAGCTGACTTCAGCAGGCTTTAGTTTGATCCGTAAATCCTCTAGACACTTCACAAGAATGTTGCTCAACTCCCACCGCCTTCAGCCTCACAAGAGGTAGACATAAATACTTAGCATTAGCATAGCTCCCCATGACTCATTTTTTCTCCTTTTTAAATATAGCATCCTATAAATGTGGATACATTCTGAGCAATAAAACTCACATTGTTACTGTTCATCATGCAACCATAACAAAAAATTCCTCCTGCCAGCTTTGGACAACTTCCTTCACCAAACTCCAAACACTGGTGACCCTCACATGGCTGAGATGGAGCAGTGGAAGCAGTGGAAGCTCTGCTCCATCAGGGAACCCAGGCATCACAGGCAGTAGATATGGAGCTGGGCAGGAAGCTCCATCATCAACCCAGACACTCATACCAACTTTATTAAGAGGAGCAGAGCTGGCTCTGGGCACAGGAAGAGCAGGGATTGTCCAGAGAGGAACAGTTTCAGCAGCTGAGAGGCAGCTTGTGCCAGCCTTGGGGAAGCCACTCACTGAAGAAGTGGTGGTGGAGGCATCTCTAGCTGGGGGATGTTCCTCACTCTTTCTCTTTCCCAGACACACATCACCTCCCTCCCTCCATCACTGGGCTTGAGCTTTCTTCTTAGAAAAGCCAAACCCACATTGTCTAACCAAGCAAATGCCACAAGCTGCTCCAGAAGCACTGAGGAAGAATCAGATGGGAAAAGCATGGACCAGAGCTTGTTGATTTTCATGGGAATTAAGAGTGTTTGAGCATGCTCCTGTCTGTCCTGCTGCAGACTTTCTTGTGTGATCAATCCTTCATGCTGTGTTTAGGTTTGCTGAATACTTCAGCTCCCTAGCTGTACAAATGAGATAAATAGCAGGTCCCTATCTCACAGGTATGTTGCAAAATAAATAGATTTTGCATTACAAGTGTTACAGGAATGCTTTAAAACTTGCACAATTGTCAAGACCAATCCATCACTGCTCATAAAGAACCCTAGGACTGATAGCAAATTAAAATCTTACCTACACAAACATTACAGTATGCAAGACTGTTTTCTTAGTTTATCTGTTTCTGCTGATAACCATGTTTGCCCCAGTGACTTGAACTGTTCTAGTCACAAGCTATGAATTAAGTGCACCAAATCCTGTCTAGAGAAATACATGCTTTACTCTGTCTACAAAAACAGCTGAGACATCAGTCATCCTCTCAGCTGTCCTAAAGACATAGCTGAAAATGCATGCCCATATCCATCCTGCTGTCAGGTGACTGAAAAGTACATTTTTACCTCTTGGACCTCTCTAGTAAGATTATGCATGAGAATTTATACACCACAGTATTTTTCTAATTTTTTCTGCAACGCTCTTATTTAATATCTGAAATAAGTGGAGTGGCAGAGCTGTCGCTGTCATCCTAGAAACTGGCATTTTAAAGACAAGATAAACAGAAGACTTTGCTTAAAACTTCCAGAAGTGTGTGTAGCTTAAAAAGCTAATTACTTTTTAAAATAATGACTAAGACTCTGAGGAATCTAACTCCCAAAGTCACACAGGTAGTTTTGAATATGTTACCCTTTCAGAGTAATTATGCCATCAAAGTCCCAGTCAAAAGCTGATGAGCGTTACTAATATATGCTGATGAGAGAGCCTGAACGTGAAAGACCTTCTTGCTTTATTTACACTTCAGTAAATCAGAAAGCACACCAAGACTTATTTTCACATACAAGAGTAACAGACCTGACCACAAGGGACATTTAAGGAAGTTAACCCACAGCCCAGGGAGTAGGTTTACTGTAAACTGGCCGCAAGCTGATGTTGTTGGACTTGTTTTCACTGGAGATGATAGAAACCTGGAGCAGCTGTTTGGACTTCAGTGGACTAGCACCAGTCACTAAATAAAACAGTGGTATGGCCCATTACCTGAAACATTACAAGTCACCATTCAGAGGTAAATTAGTCCCCAGGCAGTCCTCAGTGACATTTATCTCTAGACCAAGAACTAGGCAGATGCAGTCAAGAGCTGGGATGAAGAAAGAATAAACCATTTTTACCATCTTGCATAAAGATATATATTTGGTACAACATTCTTTACAGAAGCAGACCTTCTCAAAGAGAAAGCAAGGAAGGCATGGTGTTATTTGGGAGAAGGTGAAAGAGTGCCAGGAACATTTTAAGCTCCTCTATAGTAGAAGAAAGTACAAGAAAGTAATTAAAGATTTTACTCTTGAGCCTATCGATGTCAAACAAATTCCAAGGTTAACAAAATTTAGCCAAAAATTAATATGCAAATTGTACAAGCACTGAACGTTTCTGCTGGTCAGTTCTGGCCAGAAGAGAAGTAGCAGGAAGGGGAATCCCATCCAAGACTGTCTCAGATACTTAGATGCCTTCTGAACTATCTCAGCTATATTTATGTTCCCAACACACACCACAAAAAAATAACTTCTACTACTTCATTCTAGAAAGAAGAAAAGTGGACTCAGTGACAGGCAGGTTCATTGGTGCCTGTAAGAGTTGCTGACCTTAGCCTACTTACCTTTGGCCAGGTTGTAACAGAGAAAGCACTTGGGGGCAGTTTCCCATCCCTTCCCTAGCTCCAGCAATTGGGCTGGTGTCTCAGATGGAAACTATCTGCCTGTGCAACATGAAGCAGTGTCTGAGGCAGTAAAATTGCAGGAGAGTCAGTAATGAGTACTATAAGTAGAGCAAACTACTCAAAAATATTGTTAAGCTCCCCCAACCTGGTCCCTACCCCCTCCCTCAATCATTATTTCAGGAGACATATTTTTGTACAATTATTTCATTATCTAATGGCAAACTGGCTGCCTGTTCTATCTCTGTGCAAGATTTCCATATATGTAACTCCTCCACTAACATTTTCTCACACATACACATGCATGGATCAGCAATTGCTCCACTACATTCTCAAACAGAGAATAAAAGAGCCATAAATCTCAAGAAAAGAGTATGCCAAACAATTCAGCATCTGAAGTTACAGCTGTTCATTTCTCCTGTCTGTTCAGAAAGAGCCAGCCTTGGCTTATTGCAGATGTTTTTGAAGTAGACGGTGTTGCTCTAGATTTACTTTGGATACACTCATGATGTGACCCACTGGAGCACTGGAAACTTTGTTTCCCCACAGAGAAAAATACAGCCATTGGCATTCAAGTAGAACAGGAAAGCTATTCTCCCCACACCAGAAAGTTTCTGCTCTCAAGCACCCCTGTAAGCAACAACAGGAGAAAGAAGCAATAACTCCACCAAGGAGTGGGCTAATGTTCCTCCCATCTGCCAGTCCCACGCTCATTCTGTTTTCACTTGGACCAAATCCTCCCAAGCCTTCTGCTTTATACCTCATTAAACTTGGGTGCTTCACACAACAAAAATGTCATCCATCTTTGCAAGGTTACTTTTAAGGCACATTTCCATGTCTTTTAACACCATTCTCTTCCTCGGCCCTGTCTTGAAAGCCTGAAAATTAATTCCCTATTTTTCACATTAAATCGGTCCCCTGAGTCTCCATCTACTTATTCATGACAGTAAAAGTTTATGCAAACACCTCCACCATGCAAAAACACTCCCCTCTTCATTCCTGTGGATTCATGTTAATATTCTCCACCTCCAGAGTCTGAAGTACTCCCTGCATTGAGAGCTGCACATTCCCATGCTGAGGTGCAATCCCCTCCTAACTCCCCCTGTGCAAGTAAGAGAGGAAAAGGGATGAGTGGTCATGGAGAAGTTACAATGCTGAGGCAAAAGCAGCTCCACAAAGCGTAAGGCCCTGCCTGGCTCCAAAGGCTGAGCAAGTCTGAAGCGAGGAGACACCAGAAGTGACAGCTTAGCTGAAGCAGTAACAAACAAATAAACCAGGTAAACCGAATTATTAAGAGTGGTCAAACTGAAGTCTGGAGCCTAAAACTTTTACAGGGCATACTGATTCATCCTAATGAACTGACTCACCTGGAGCCAGTAGGGATGCCAGGCTTGGCAGCTGTGGGTAGAGGTTCTTGGCTTGAATCCAGCTACAAAAAGGACTTCACACCCAAGGAAGAAAGATAAAAATTAAAGGGCAGAAATTAATAAAGCCTAACAGTTTTGCTCAAGGAGCCTTCTAGAATTAAGAGAAGGGAGTAGAGTTTCTGCTCAAACGTTGTCAGCCCTGAAACACTGCTAGGAGAACATGGTACATTAGAACAAGGCTAATGGGCCAGGGAGGACGTGGGTGCAGGACACTGCAGTTGAAGAAGAACCTAAGAAACCCCAGCACAATGACAACAATAATGAATCATCACATCCATTTTTCCTATATCCACCTGCCTAACATTGCCTTTTCCAATGACAACACGCAGGACTCATCCTCCTCCTTCCAGTCCCCAAATGCCGTTTCTCCACCAGTGCCAAAAAAATGTGTGAGGAGAAGGAATAAAGTCCTCTCTAACCACCTTCTGACACAATGTTATTCCTCCCCAGTGTTAGCCTCAGTCCCAGGTTAAGAAAAGAACATCCAATGCGACATGAACAAAAGTTCCCCCCAAAGAAGGCAAGTTTAGTTTCTGCAATTCTTAGCGCCTCTGCAAAAAAATTTGAGCTTGTGAAAATACCCACCAAAAACATCAATAAATAGAACTGCCTCTCAGATCATTTCAAAAAAGAGGTGCTGGGCCAGCTTTGACCGTAGTGTAGCTCTTCTGGTTCAGAAGTGATGCTGGTGGGGTGTTTGACCCTCTGCAATCTGGGTATACACTCTATCATATTGGCTAGCTCCTGGAATGGAGGAGCAAAATCAAAGAAACACAAACAAATTGATGCAGAACTACAATATGAAGCTATTCATACCTATTTTCTACATACACTATTATTTTTAAGGGGATGCTGTCAGCTTGGTATTTTCAGACTCAAGGATTTAGAAAGAAATCTTACCTCTCAGGCAGTCTATAGCTCTGCTACAGAGTTTTTCTTTAAAGCTGGTACTTTGTAATTTCCTTGCCACACCCCTTGTTCTTTCCTTATCTTTCTCCCAGCCTTTCTTAATAGACACTGTTTCTGCAAATCTGTTTTAACAGATTCAGAGCAAGAGACAAGTACCCTTCATAAAGAAAAAGAACAGTTTTAGGCATTTGAAATGCATCTCTTGTGCAAAAAGAGCATGAGTTAACCAGGTAATTTCAGAGTGAAAACTCAGAAAGTACATCTATAGCTGATACAACTCTAAAGTTGATTCACTTAATAACAACTCTTGTATGAACAATAGTTTCCAGGTAAGACGTACATAAATATTTCCAGTCGGAAAATAGCATCCCTTTAAGCCTGCTGACAAAATCCGAACTTAGATAATTTAAGCTACCTGAAGAGTTGATGGCTTAGATTTTCCTATTTCCATGGCATTACTGGAGATCAGTGCCAGCTGACAGCGCTGAAGGGCTGCAGTTCCCTGTGCTGGGAAAAAGCCTCAGGCCGGGGTCAGGGCTCCTCTGTGCGCTTTGCTCTTGTGAGAAAAGCCCTGTCTCCTCTCCGACCTGCCGCTGTGAAGTCCCAGTTTGATGCACGACGTGATCAGCTCTAGAGGGAGGGTCACTGGAGCGGAGGAGTGCAGGATGCTTGAGACTGATCCACTCGAGGTCTAACACTTAACTTGCTCCTCAGCTTGCAGCCAGCGTGGATCTTAGTTTCTCTGTCTAGGAAGTAGGGCTTTATGCGTTGTTTCTAGAGCTCTTGAGCCATTGATTAAAGTAAACAAACAAACAAAAAACCTACAGGTTTTCTTTCTGATCCCCAGCAATCACAATCACAAGGTCTGAAAAATCCTTGTCCTATCTGTGGTTCAGTTTGTTTTCTTAAAGCAGAAAGTAAAAGTAAAGTAAAACCAGGAAAAAAAAAAAAAAAAAAAAAAAAAAAACCAACCAACAAACCCAAACCCGAACCTCCTCCTCTCCTTGTTTCTCTGTAATTGAAGATAGCATCTATATCCTTTTAAAAGTTATGGAAGCTTATACAAAGTACTCAGTGATCCAAGAGCAATTTTAAGGTAAGATAAGAATCCTCACCGTACCCAGATCACATCCAAACGCACCCGGGGCAGGAAAGTAAAATATTACCGCGGCTCTGAATCTGTGGCGGGGGGAATAACCCTGACACAAGCAAAATCCAACAAACCCTCAACTTACAAAGATCTTCCATTACACCGCGTAACTCAGAGCGACCCCCCTCCGCAGCACACAGCCCGGAGAAGACCCGAACCGCACGGCGCTCCCACCATTGCGCCATACATTCCCTTTTCCCGGCGGGGCGGGCACCCCGGGCCCCCGCAGCCCCCCGCCGCACCGAGCCCTCGTACCGTCCGTGCCTCGCCCGGCGTCCGGCGCTGCCGCGAGCGGTGACTCCGCGGCGACAGTCGGCGACAGCGCTTTCTTCCCGACACCGAGCTGCGGCCAGGGAAAGCGGCGGTGCCCGGGGCGCGCTGCTCCCGACGCGGGGGCTCATGCCAGCGTGGGGCGCCGCATTTCAGCACGAATCGCTGTGGAGAGAGGAAAGAAGCAGAGGGGGAAGCCCCGCCGCGGTTACCGCCGGGTGTCACCGCCGAGCGTCCCGCCCCTCCCGCGGGCTTGTCACGCGTGGAGCGCCCGAAGTGCGCGGCGCTGGGACGGGCAGAACGCGCCCGGTTATTGTTGGTTTGGCCGCGTCCCCCGGCCCCGCTCCGAGCCCGCTCCCCGCCCTCTCACCCGGGCTGCGGGGCCGCGCCCTCAGCGCCCGCCCAGAGCGGCCGGGCAGCGCCGGCGGCCCCGCGCTCCGGCCCCGGCGGCAGCACAGCCCGCGCCCGCCGTCCCTTATATCGCCGCGGCGGCGGCTATAAATAGCCGGGCCCGCCGCCGGGGGCCGCCCGGGCGCCGCCGCGGGGGGATTGGCGGCGGTGCGGGCACCCCCCGTCACCTGCGGCCCAGCGGCTCGGCCGCGTTCGCCGCTCGGGCCGCCCGTGGGTGCCGCTGTCCGGCGGGCGCGGCGGCGGCGCGGCTCCCGGGGGCCCGGGCCCGCCGACCCCCGGCGCGGCAATGGGCCCGTCCGCCGCCGCCGCGCGTTAAGGTGGAGCGGAGCGGAGCGGCGGCACCTTAAACCGCTCGGGCCGCTCTCCCCGCCCGGCACCCCGGGCCCCACGGGGCTGCGGCTGAAGGGAGCGGACCGACCCTCCGGCCGCGGGGTTCCTGCAGCCGCCAGCAAACGAGGAGGAGCAGGAGGACAGTAAACAGCCGGTTCTGGCTGATGGACGGGGCAGCAGCCGGACGGCACGGGCTGGTCCAAGCGCCGTTCACGCCGCATGAACACGGCACACACCGAGCCTTTGAGAAGCAGCTACTGTGCGCACACAACCCCCTTCTCCCCCTCCCCCATATATATACATTCATACTTAATACGAGGAAGCCTCATCAACTTGAATCCCAATAAGAGAATTCGTGTTTAATACACCAGAGCTCATCCAATACAGCACTCGGGGAACACATGAGTAGTAGTTACTTTTTTTACCTCTCATTTGTGCCCTTGGCTGGCACTGCGAGGCAGAACCAAAGCAGCGCTTCCCATGCCACCTGCGGGCTCCTTTGCCACCTCACACCTTGCACCTGACACCAGCAAAAGCTCTGCTCCCGCAGCTACGCACACTTAGTGACACTTGCTGCCCTCACAGAGGATGCTGGCAATGGCTGTGTGAGAATGATCCATGACAGGAAGGACGTGTCCTACCACAGGAGCACCTTGAGCACAACCCTGGGTGGTGCTCAGGTACAGACCGAGTGCCTGCAGCATCTCAGAGGGTACATTTAGGCACTTGCTGATTTACCGTGCTGGCTCAGGGCTTACCTCCCTGGCGGTGTGCAAAGCAGAGGTACAGGAACTCAAAATGGCTCTGAAACCCAAGTGAACAGTCCCAGCACTCCTCCTGTGCCGAATTAGCATTCTGTACACTCCAGTAGTCCTCAGAAAGATCTACCCAAGGAGTTTGGCACAGCGCTGCGGCATGAACGGAACAAGTCAGCTTCCGTGCTATCTTTCCCACACATGTAAGAGGCAGAGAGAAGTATGCTGCCATTTTACAAACAAGATATGTGAGTGTCTGCCTCAAAACCTGCATTGGTCCAGCTGCATGGAAGAGGTGAGAGGGAGCAGACCAGGAGGAACCCCACAGGCTTTCCGAACCAAACAGTGTGACAGACGTGTTTTGTTTACATGAATTGACAACTGGGTTTGTAAGATACCATTTGTCAAAAGGAGTCACATGTTTACACCTGAATTTGGTGTGAAACAGCTTCTTTGTTGGTTACAGATTTTCCCTCTAGGACAAAACCGTCTCCTCATCTTCCCAGGGCAGACTGCAGTGCAGTGATGGAGGTGACTGGCTATGAGGAATCTGGTTTTTGCTATCAGCACATCTTGCCACGAGGGAGGGCAAAATTGGCAAAACTGCACACAGCAGATCATTTGTACGTTCTCAGAGGTGTGGAAGTGCTGTCACTACATGCTGGGGACACAGCAGTCCTGGGACTGGTAGGCCAAAGATTTCAGGTTTAGATCTTTAAATCTGAGCATCCAGTTTTCTGTTTGGGCATTTTAAACAGATCACACTTCAGAGCTGCACATTTTTGCTTCTGCATTTGCCAACCAAGCCCAATATTCATACACCAAAACCTGAAAATCTCTGATGCATTTCATACCAAAGTCAGTAACACTTGACAGGAAAAGCTGTGGCCTGGCTCCTGTACGTCAGGTATCTGGCTTTTTGCTCAGTTCTCAGTAGCCTTCCTATCATAAGAAATACTAAAATTATGGATGGAAGAAAGCCAAAAAGTCCTCTTTCAATTCCATCCAGTATTTGGAGCAGCATTAAATTTCTTGTAGTGCATATTAGTTAACAATGTTGCTAAAGGGGAATTGCAGCTGTGGTTCACTGCTTATACAATACAACTCCTATTTAAGTGCATTTTTGTATCCTGCTGAGTCACCCCAAGGAGCTCTCAAACAAAGCATCACGTTCAGTTTGACAGGAGAGACAGTGGCATGAAGAGCTTTCCCTTTACCAGCCCTCCCTGGGGCGATGCGAGTGCAGGATGGACGACACTTCAAACCTTGGAACAAATAGAAAGCTAAAAGAAAAGAGTGCCTTAAAATTTCAGCCAACATTTCCCCCATACAGATTTAAGCACATGACATTTCCAGTCTGTTTCAGCTTCAGTGAGTAGATTAAAGTGTCCATACAACCTCTGAACTCCTCAAGTCAGATTATACTTCAGGCAAGCTCTCACTAAATCAGAGGATGCATTATGTATGTAGCATGGTATTTCACTATTAGGTCTAGATGAATGTGGCTGTTTATTGTCCCATATTAAAGCTGAGTGGGTTAGTGCAGCATGAGCCTCTTGGCTTGTTTTGTTGGCAGCTGCCTTTTGGGCTGCTGGGGACACTTCTCTTGCCCAGGCTCTGCAGCAGGAGGTTGCAAACATGAGGGTTTGCACAGCACCACAGCAAGGCAGAGACTGTTTGCACAAAAAAACCCCCACCAAACAAACAAACAAACAAACAAACCCAAAAAAAGGAAAAAGGTGTTCCTTGCAGGAGCAGTGCAATGGGTAAGATTTTTGTCAGTACAAGTTCCTGCTGGTGCCATATATCCAGGGATAAGAGTCACTTCAGGTCACTTCAGGGAAATCAGAGGATGGAGATGGGGTTTGAGAAGATGCAGTGGCCCTCCCAAGTACTAACCCAAGATGCTGCTGGCATCAGTGTCTGGAGGACAGGCAGATTGTGCTGGAGCAGGTAGCTGTAGCTGCCTGCACCCTGCAGAGATAAAAGCACCATCCTGCACCAGATTGGATCTTGCTAGAGCAGAGCCCTGCAGGCTTGACTGTTGGGGTTGAATTTGGAGAAGAGCACAAAGAGACCACAGCCTGAACCCTGTCAGATGGCACAATATCAAATGAGCTGCAAAGGAAAAAGTTGAGGTGTTCCTACACTGCCAGTTGACTCCAAATCTGCATGAAACCAATGCAGTAGCTTTGCTGCCACTGTGAGTCCCCTTGGTCAGAGAAAGCAGATCACACCTTTGGGCTATGGATGGACAATATTGCTCTGCTTCTATGGACTAAGAACAATGATACTATAACGTGGTTTAAACAACTGAGATTGATTTCACCAGATTTCTCTGATGCTTGGCACAGACCACAGCGAAGCTACTTAGCAGTAGAGGACATCTAGTGATATTCACATGCAACTACATAAACTACATAAAATTTCTCATGTGACTTCCTCAGAGTCAGCATGGCTGGAGATGGGACACGGTGTGGCTGTGACAGCTGCAGGAGGGCTGGGACAAGCTGACTATGAACATCCTCTATAAACGGGTCACAAAGGAAAAACCCCCTGAGAGGCTTAGGGAACATAGAGCGAGGGCACAGGTAAGAACTGGTGGTGCTGCACCTTTTAAGGAGACATTACAGGGGAGTGCAGAGCTTTTATTTCTACAGCAAAGACCATGTAAACTGGGATGCAGAGATTAAAATCAGTCATTTTCTTTCAGGAGTCTTTGCTCTTATCTCAATTTGTCTTTCATGTGACTCATCCTGAGCACAAGCTGCAAACATCAGAGTCAAGATCAAGATTTTTTTTCTCTAGTACACTAGATCAGCCCTTTCTCCACGCCCTTTTACAGCCTACTGCTCTTTGTTCT